CTGCAAGTAGCGTTTTCCAGTAATTCAGCAGGTCTTCCGGCCATCTTGTTGCACAGCTCTCTTCAAAGAAAAAAAAGGGCCCACAATAATGGACAAACGAAAGCACACCAAACAGTTAAACTCGGTGATTGTAGCGGCTCCTCATTATAGGCACATGGATTCTCCTTCGCCCAGATTCTACAATTATAAATGTTGACTGTTTCCATGCAATGAAAAATGAGCCTCCCCATCTTTCCACAAGGTATTGGGAAGCCAATGTGGATCGTCATCAATTTCCGATAGAGCCGAATTTGCGAATTCATATCACTTTGCCATTTGATTAGAGCTGTTGGACTGTTTGCAACTTGTATGGATACAATTTTAAACACTCTGAAGGATCGGTATAACAGCGTTTCGTATCACTTCTCGTGCGCTACTTTCTGCACTCGTTGATTGTTCTCTTGGAGCGTCAATCCGCGAAGCCACTTCGGATGGATGGACCTCTGATAGAACTGGTGTACTTCTACGAAGGCAACGGCACAAACCTCCCGTACCAGAAAAGTCAGTTTGGTAAGACTGATTGGGCTTGAACCTTTCTTTCATCCCTTCTTATATCTGAAACCTTCGTAAAGCTTCAGTCGGCGATTCTTGGCCTGAGATAGAACAACTTCATTAATAATGACCTTTCCGCTAATATCAGCCTCAACATTAAAACTTTATGTAGGAGCAATCAGGAGGAAAGTTAAATAGCTGTTAATCGTAAAACCTGCAATTTATAGGTCTCTGATTTATATATTTCTTATCACTGCATCTGGCAAAAGGACACAGAAAGGGAAATTTACTTTTGCTATTCTGATAAATTTAAACAAATATGGCTGCCATGGTAAACCAAAAGTAGGCTTAACCTCACTTTAACAAGTTTTAAATTTTTGATAATTCTACAACTGTTGCATGCAGATTAACTAAAGACAGAAAAACCTTCACCGGAAGATAAGAACAACATAATTCAATCGTTTATAGGAAGCCTGCTGCTCAGTAGTTTGCTTCAGAGCTTGCTGTAGAAATTTCAAAGAAAACTCCAGTTCTTATCTTTCTTTACAAATTCAAGAAATGTGCGGCGCCCTCTATTGACAAAAATGTTAATTAACTTTTTCTTCACACACCAAAAAAAAAATATCCCTCTTTCACGAGAATAACTTCTTCACAAACCGCGGTGAAGTCTTCCAATTCCTTCAGTTTTTAGGATTTTTAACAATATTTACAGACTTATGGGACAACCTGTATAAAAACAACTGTACAAAACAAAAGCAAAATTATATAAAATACATGATATTGGCTTTTTTTATCGCGCTTTAAATAGTTAGTCGTTATCAATCAATTAAGGTTTTGAAGAAAGAAAGAAAGAAAATTAAAGAAAATCATCGGATTACACAAGTGCTCATAGCACTCTTTTTTATTACTTTAAATGGGCTTTTTAAAATGGTGCTTCTCCATACGTTTAAAAATTGGAAATTAACTGTCATAATTTTATTTTTAAATGTATTTCTGGGAGCTGATTTTGTCTCCCTCCCAACCATTCACCTCAGGCAGTTTCTCCACTTTTCGCCCCCTTGTCCTGGCTTTGATATGCATATATAGCAGTTGCTGATATACATCCTATATATCAGTTGCTGATATATATATGTTGTTCAGCTATTGATATACTCTTTGTATGCATACAGTGTTTCAATCATAAAGTTTTACTGAACAAGTTAGAGAATTTCATGAGAAGAATTTCAATATTTCAACAGAATTATTTTGAAATAGCAAAATTTAATTTAGGTCCTGGTATAGCATAAAGTCAATTTTGAAAAATATTCCTTTTAATTTAACAAGTTACCAGTAAAATGTTCCGTGTATTTATCGCTAAAATTTAGATAGATATGAGTAATTAACAATTTCTCGGTACCAGGCGCAAAGTTAATAACTAGTGCTGATTTACTCAACGCAGTCCTATTAATCACTGTTTGTCAAGTAATTGCTTTCTGAGAATTAGGGATAATTTAAGGAAAAATTTAGAAAATATTTAATTTCCGTGAAATATATGCGTAGAAAAGATGTCTAAGTCAAAGAAAACAAGCTTTTATATCTAACTTATTAAAGTATAATGGTCGTTTTTCTAATCTGCATTTTAGCTCATACGGGGACCATACAGAAAGTAAAATTGAGACTTTTCAAAGTGATTCTTTGCTCCAACATTGAAACTGTTCTCACAAAGTCTACTTTGCTTAAAGAAATTTCGGAATAGATATGCCTAATTAAGAAAATGGATCTTATAGCTGAATATCTTATATGTAGAAAAGACATGCCCAGATTTATCTTCACATACTCAAACAAAATCTGATGTGTACACTACATAACTTCCTTCTACGAAATGTTAAATTATACGCCTTTTTTGCTGCATTTCATTTAAACTTATTTCCTCGAATTTCATTAGAGATATATTTTTCGTTCAATTAATTCAGCTCTCACTTCACGGCAAGACAAAAATACATAAAATTTCAAAATATCTTTATTAAAAATTGAAAAATATAGAAAATTACAGTTAAAACATTTAAAAACCAATTTTACAATTAAAATTAGAGTTTCTATGCAAAACCAAGTAATTCGGCCAGCGAGCAAGAAGGAAGAGTTTTCGGTGTACAAAACTGAAAGTTTACTTTTGATCGCATTCGGCAAAAAGACACAGAAAGGGAAATTTACTTTTGCTATTCTGATAAATGTAAACAAATATGGCTGCCATGGTAAACCAAAAGTAGGCTTAACCTCACTTTAACAAGTTTTAAATTTTTGATAATTCTGCAACTGTTGCATGCAGATTAACTAAAGACAGAAAAACCTTCACCGGAAGATAAGAACAACATAATTCAATCGTTTATAGGAAGCCTGCTGCTCAGTAGTTTGCTTCAGAGCTTGCTGTAGAAATTTCAAAGAAAACTCCAGTTCTTGTGGATTTCATTGTTTCAGGCCCCAGGAAGTTACTAAATGGTTGCAAATAAAGGACCCTTTCGCCTTCTGTAGCAGAGGGAGAATGCCTCTGTTGCTTTAATAAGCAATCATTTTGAGCTGCGGGGACTATAGAACTCAGAAGAATGAACATTGCTTGGAAAGAGTGGCTAAGATTTGTTCCATTTTTTATCTTTCTTTACAAATTCAAGAAATGTTAGCATGAGAAATAGTGATACTAAGAACAAGAAAAAAATCTTTGTCTCTCATATTTTACCTCTTTTAAAATATTTAGGGTGGCCCAGAAGTCACTTTACATTTTGAAAATTAAAATAACTTTTTCTTAAATGAATGTATTTAATTAATTCTTTTTTATTTTTTGCTTATTCACATGTCCATTCAAATGGAAATGAGCTTCATCTCCCATGATCAACTTGTGAATAAACTCATTGTCATTTCTTGCAGTTCTCTGAAACCTGACAGCATAATTTACTCGTTTCTGAAAGTCTGCTGGTTTTAAAGATTGCACTAAATTGAACCTTGAAAACGCGTCACTAAGTTCCTTATTGCAGGCCTACTAGGGGGATGTCGAACATTAAAATGGCGCATATATTGCGTTGCAACAATTGACCGTCCATTTTCAAAGTAAAATTCAATTATCTTCACTCGTTGTTCTGTTGTAAACTTATCCATGCCAAAAATTTCCAGGGATTATATTTTTTAATTTTGAAAAGAGAAAAAAAATATATTAATAGAAAAAAAGTTATTTAATTTTCAAAATGTAAAGTGACTTCTGGGCCACCCTATATTAGGTAATTTTTTACAAAATTAATTCCTGAATAAGGTTTAAAAAAATGAAAGATTTGAAAGAAATTATATTAAAAATCTATAAACAGAGCAGATTATTTTGTTGCTTTTGCATATTTAAATAAAAGTTAAGCAATTAAGCTTAATTAATTTAATTAAAATTAAAATTTTAAGAATTAAGTCTTAAAATAGCAGTTTAGTGGAAAATAAAATCTAATATTAAATATTTATATTATTATTTATATTTATATTTATTATTATATAAGTTATTTGAAAAATAAAAATAAATTGATTTAATTTTAAAGCAAATAGTAAAATTGTAAATTTAATATTATACTATTAGTAAGTGTGAACAAATATAATTTAGAAAAAAATGGTCTCATTTAAAAAACTGCTTTTTAATTGTGTCTCTTATAAAGCGTTTTAGACAGATTTTGCTATATACAGATAGTTATATATATACACACACGCACATATACATGCAATACACATACCCAATACACACACAGCGAAAGCAAGATAATAAGGGCTTCTTACTGTGACTGCATAAACAGTTTTTGTTATGCATCTCTATTAAGATAGACGTACGTCTGATTATTCCTCTAATATACACGTGCAGTTCAAGGTAAAAAGGCAACTATGCACCATTTAACTGCTTGAAAGATATAATTTGTAGTCAAATATCTATAATGATATGCCGAAATACAAAAGCACTCAATAAGCTAAAATAAATGTGAAAGATATATCTATTATTAAAAACTGCCTGCAGTTTAACTAATAACTCTTTCAGTTTTTAAATTTCATTTTGTTTTGTAAATTACATATTCAAAAATTTGACCTACATTGATGGCATACGTAAATTATTTAAAAGCGAAATAAATGGTAATCATAAATTAAAATAAAATGAAATGAAAACTTATATTAAAACATTTGAAATTTTCTATATATACGTATTTTATATTCGGTTTTGCGTTTTGTCCGTTTTTTTATATGTCGTAGCTAAAGAGTGAAATATTAAAAAATAAGTAAAATTATCACGCTTAATATACAATCATGTTAAATTACACCCGAAATATCTTCTATTTATTTTTGGAATTTTTGCTAAATGGCATTTTGAATTTTTATGTCTTTGTGTTATTAATTGCGATTAAAAATGATAAAGTTGCATATTTATATCATGAATTGATTTTTAGGCAAATCATGACATTGATAAACACTTTTATGTGCAGGTTTATTTCGCAAAGCACGACAACTTGATGCGAGGGAGCCACGCAGATGTCAGGGTTGGTCGGGAAAAATGAAGATCCGCAAATGCATCCTTCTGGCAAGATGCCCTGTGACGAACATCCTCCATCCAATGAAGAGGGCGAGATTCGTGAAAAGTGCGGCGAGACCCCTTGTCCAGAAATAGAACGAACAGGAGCCGGGGAACCCAAAGTGACTGAAACTTCAGTGTTCCTTGCAAATTTCAACCGCCGAGTCGACTAATCCGAACTTCACTGCAGTTGGTGTGCGATGCTCTTCAAATCACAGTGATGTCATCGAACTTCGGATATTTGATGTTTTGAAGCAACGGATGAGTTCGTTCTAGGTTTGGAATACACTTGTTGATGTGCTTTTCTGTGCCCGTGACTTATTTGTACTCAGGTGCGACATGGAATATCTAAATTATTATATCAAGGAGTGTAGAAGAAATTTCATGTATTGAGTGATTGTGAGTGCAACGTTAGCTCAAATCGTCTTTGTGTTTCAGTGATGAATATGTGGAACTTCCCACATTTCTAATGAAGATTCTGAAATGCTTTGAAAGTTTAGCAAACGCTTGTTTGAAAAGTAGTTCGAAGTGCGAATCAAATTTTTAAAACATCTTAAAAAATCTGCTACGTAAAATTTATGAAATGGCAAAATAGAACTTAAGTATTTCGTCATATATATTGTTCTGTGGATATATTCAGTCTTACTTGATTGCTTCATAGATTAATGAAAGAACTGTTTCGGGTTCATTGTCAGGAGGAAATGGATTTAAGTGCTTTTCGGAGGTGAAATAAAAGTTTATGCTTGAAGAGTTTATATTGACTGTTCATATTGCGGTTGAACGGAAATTCTGTAAGCTGCTATTTGAGATTTATTAAAAGAGAATTATTTAATTAAAAGTAGAGAAAAGTACAACGTAAGTTCTCCAAACAAATTCTGTCTTCAGCTACAGGTAAGACTTTTGTTTAACTAATGAGTATGCTTTGAAATTTAATTTAAATCTGTTAATGTATTAACGATTAGGAATTAAAAAACAGCCAGCCGATTTCAAAAGCGATCATCTTGCTAAAATACAGCTGCATTTACTTAAATTTGCGAATTAATGCTAACTCAAATACTATGATCTTTCCTTTGGGAAGTACCCGTATTAGATGTTTTCAGTTAATAATTAAATAAAAGCATACGAATTTTTATCCTGTTAAAAATATCTTGAATATTTTCTTAATAAATGTTTTAAAAATGTGCATAGTTTAAAATTAACTAATATTTATATACTCAATAAACACTAGGGAGTTTTAGCACTTTTTTTAATATTTAAGCTTTAATCGAAATATAAAGATGGGAATAGAACTCTAAAGGTAAAATTCAAATTCAAATTAAAGAATAAGCTTTTCAGAACTTAGTCAAGCATCGCAATGAACAATTACTAACGGTACATATGTGTATACGTATATCTTTTAATTAAAGAAAATTGTTTTTTTAGGATAGAATAACAAAGTATCGAAAAATGATTCAAATTGTTTAACTTAGATATTCTATTACTACGATATCAGGCAAATGAAATATCTCTGACAATATATGTCGCTGGCTGAAAGAACTAAACAATGAATTAAGTTTTAGATTTCGTAAGTAATAATATCTCACAAATGATAGTCAGATAAAGTTAAAAAATTTCTATCTTGTCATTTCATAAGTTCTTAATAACTAGTAATAGTTTGGCATTAATAATGAGAATTGGATAAGTACCCAGATACTAAAGAATTTTGCTTTTGCTTAAAATTTTAGTATTTCAGTTTTATTTGCATATTAATATAAACAGATAAGCACGAAATATAAGATTTGTAGAACCATTTCTCCATTATAAGTCAGTGTTTACAGTAAATGAACTTCTGAATGTAAAATAATTAAAATGGAATCTAAGAGTTATTCTTTCAACCATAATGAAGATATCAGACAACTGACTTTCACCCCTGAGTTGAGAAGAATAACATGCTTGGATAAGATGAAGGATCCTAAAATAATAAAATCTCCTTCTTGGCCATCTTCTCCTTCAACTGTCAGAAATGAAATGGGGCAAAAAACATTTCAACCAGAATATTGGACAATTGGCAGAAAGGGATTTGAAAAAAAAGTTTCTGATGACGAATTTGGGATGAATTTTGAAACCTGTTCTCCAAAACACATTTCTGATAGAACTAAAAGCAGTTTTGAAGAAATACATTCAATACTTTCGGGTATGGATTTAGCGAAGTATTATTTAAAAGGACCGAAAGAAGCAATGAAAGGATCTCAGGAAAGACTTAATCAACCACTTCGTAGAAGTGTATCAGTTCAACCTGAGTTAAGTGGATATTACAATAGCTCTGGCAAACGATCCTTTCTAGATGGCATTCCACCACCACCTAATGCTAAATCCATGCTTGAATCGTATGTTGAATCAACTGTAAAACGTAACCGAGGGCGTAATCACGAAAAGGTTTATGCTTTAGAACTTTCTCCAATTCATAACTCATCGCGAAAGGTCAGCAGCAAATTGAAAGAACTCACAGAGAAACTTAGATCATCCTCTGCTCCTCCTTCTCCTCATAGAAAGATCAGACCTTTTGTGCCTTATACAGCTCCACCAACAAGTACCATTTCGTTTTGGAACGAACCACTGCCAGACCTAGAACCATTGGCTTTACCATTTAAAACGAATGAATGCATGGATAAGAAAATAGAGAATTCTGAACAAAAAATTGAAGAATATCCTAATGGAATTTCAAAGAAATCATTTAATATTACTACTCCCTATGCTACATTGCCACGTATGAAAGCTTCAGAGAACATGCAAAGTAAGAATTGTGAACCAAGAACTTTGGCAAGTCTAGATTTAAATATTAATTTTGAACAATTCAGAAGTACAAGATCTGCCAATGAAATAGACGAGTTTCAAAAAGATTTTAGAAATCATGACGATAATAATATGAGAGATAGGAAAGAGTTAGGTAGTGAAAATGAAAACATAATTTTCAATGAAACGACTTGCAAAGAAAGTTCGATAAATCAAAGCAGCCATTCAAATACTTCAAGTAGACGGAGCAGCTTAAAAAACAATTCAAGCTCTTCAACGCAACGTTCGGATTTTGATCTTAATTTTAAAAACTATGGTTCGTTAACTTCTAATCAGGAGAAAAAACTTGATCGCAAAAAAAATCAAAATAAATTTGACTCTCACTCATCCAATACTATTCATAGAACAGACTTAAAAAAGATGAGTATGTCGGCACAAAGGTTTCATGAAGAAGAGAGTGATAAGAAAAACGTTGGCAAGCAAAGCCCAGAAATTATGAAAGATAACAACCAAAAAGGGACACATCAATCTGAATTCTCATATGGAAATGAAAATGTTTTTTCGAATCATACATATTCAACAAATGGTTCCCAGACGGTTCCAGCTGTATCATCTTCAACTGTGAATACGCTAGAAGAAGAGATTAGAACAATAGCTAAGTTGTTGGATGGAAAAGAAAGCTTATTCCTCAAACTTATCCAGTCTTCGAAAGTTGACAATGAGGAACGTAAAGAAGTAATGGAAGGTGAAAGGGAATTGTCTCAATCAGCTGGGATACAAGAAAAAGCCGATGAACTTCCTGATCTCAAGTCAAAAAATACATCTGCCTTCCGAAGTACTGGTAGAAATAGTCCATCAAGACTACGAGCCATGACAGTACCAGGAACTGAGCCAAATCGAAATATTCCTCAGAAATCTCCACCTCCACAGCAGAAGAGATATTATAAGAAAAGGCTCAGAGGTCCTTACGGGGAAATGTTAGAGCAAGAAATGAGCAAATCTGTCAATAAAACTAGACCGTCTTATGCGAAAGACCTAGAATTTTTGAAGGAACTGGAGAAGTATGAATCTAAGACTGACACATCTAGGGATAAACAAACTGCCAGGCCAAGACCACTGCTTCGTTCTTCTAGCCATTCGCTGGACGAAACCCATTCAATTACAGTTGATAGTGGTCCCAAAAGAAAGACCAGTGCTAACATTCCTCTTGTAAATGGCAGCGATAAACAAGAATCGCTAAATGTGCCATCATCATCAGTCAGTGGCACTGTGTCCGAACCTACCCTTCATATAAGGAGTCATAGCGACTCCGTCAAAACATCTAGTACTTGGAATGTGGATACGTTACTCAGCAAAGTGATTAAACAGTCGACGCAACAGGTAAGAGTTTTTATTTACTATTTTTTAAAATGCATTAGTTTTTATTTTCAGAAATGTAGATATTAATATAGAGCTTAACAGCAGATTATTTTTCTATCCAATTTGAGAATTTTGCTATGGAAAATCTATTTTACGCTGTTCTTGTTTTACACTTGATATCAAAAAAAAAATATATAGCACTTGTTTATATGAATTTCAAAGTAAAAATAGGTTCTACCATTCAAAAGCATGCTCATCAGGAAAAGCAGTTAAAAAAGCTTTATGATAAATTAGATGTTTCTAAATTTTATTAGAAACTTAATTTACATGAACATGTACATTCTAAAATATGAAATTTATGAAAAGAACTTACATTCCCTTTTATATGTACTATCGGTTGAGAAAACAAGTTTATACAACGTTTTGAAATATCTTATATGCAATATGTCTTTATTCGAAGGGACAGCATTATGAAGATAAATTAAAACATTATTAATAGTTATTAATGAAGAGTTTGATTTCCTTGAAACAAATGGAAAATTTAATTTTTATAATATCTTGTAAGTTTTTCATTCAGTAAAAGGGTAAGCATCTTGGTTTTTCAGCTTTTGTTTTTTTCCACTGCAGATACATTACTATATTTAATAATGTAATAAACCAAAATGTTTATAAAGAGATTTGAAAATTTCATAACGTTAAATTTTAAGCTTCGGCAACAATTCTAACGGGTAAGAATCATGTAATTCATAGAAATATTTATCATTTATAATTTGTTTAATTTTTTATTAATATTTTAAGAGTTCAGAAACTCTTTCGATGAAAGAAATTTAAAGTGACATTTGGACATATGTATAGACACTTAGCTTTTATATTATCCCACGATAGTGCTTACAAACATATATTTAATAACACGAGTGCCTAGCGCATGAATCTTTTAAAATATTCTACTTATATTATTTCATTATTTCTGGGAACTAGATACCACTGTACAAAAAATAAATTACTTCATAGAAGATAGCCTACAATTTCGTTATCTCATCGGTTAATTATTTTCTCTTTGTAAATTAATTTCAATGTTCATATCTAGCTTTTCAGAGCAATACATTTTATTGATACTTTAAAAGCATATTTTGACGAGCATAATAGCGTGATAGCGTATTTCAAAAAGTGTATTAAAATTAACAAAGAAACAGTTTAAATTTGTAAAAATAGCACTTTAGGGAAGGCAAAATTCTAAAATCAAGTAAAACACGGATAAATTTATGCTATTGGTTTATAATCTGCTTTAACTTTTATTTATTGTATTTGTTATTTATTTATACATATATATATATATATTGTTCAATGATAATATCACTAATTTTCATCTTTTGGAAAGTGGGAAGAATCTGCTTCTTGATATATTGATAACCGTCAATAATAATATTCATTCCCTGCATTTGTAACAAGAATAAATGAAGAGATAGAAAAGGGTTAAAACTTTGTACATGTATAATTTCAGATTATAGAGTTGAATTATTATTATTAATGTTGTTTAAGCCATAATGTTTGAGAATTATAACGAATATAGAGTTTTGATTTTTATATTTGCAACAGAATTCCAATTATCGGGGCTCATCGGGACAACAGCGCATGAGTAGTAAAAGTGTGAATGACTGGGTTATTTGTTTTATAGATTATTCATAAAAAAGTATACAATTTATCTTTAAAATAAAATACAAAACACATTTTCTACTAATTTATATAATGAAACTATTTTTATTTGTATAAAACAGCCATCGTTTCCACAGTAACTAAATTAACATGATAAAATTAATTTGTCATTCATATAGACGTTAAATTAGATTAAAAAAATTCCATTTTTTTAGATACCACGGGGTTAAATGCGGATTTTTTGTTATCGGTATTGCTTATGTAAAACAAGATAAACAGCCTTTTTATATTATACTAAAATTCATCTAATATTTTAATTATTTTACAAGCATTAAATAATAATATAATCGAATGAATAATATGTTGCGCATTTTTTGAAAACAAGCTTTAGTTACAACTAATCAATGATTAACACAATAAAAACACCAAACTTATATACATTACCTTTCAATTAACGTTTACAGACCACATATTTGCAATATATTGCAGGTCAATCTATATGCCATAGATATTCATCTAAGGTGATGTTATAGCTTCTTGAAAAAATGTTTCATAGAGTGAATTATCTGCTTTTCATAGAGTGAATATACTGAAATCTAGGAACGCGCAAATGAATTAACAGAAGCCTTAATTTTATTTAGCATAGAAAAAAATGTAACCTGATCTAACAGAGTTTATGGAATTTGATTGCACTTAGAAATATCTCAGTTGGTATCTACAAGAGTTTAGATGTAAAAAATAATCAGATTTAATACAAGAAAATTTAATACAGAAGCTAAAGTCTAAAACGTTTGCATTATAAAATCATTTTTATCACAAAATTCCTTTCTTCTGAAAGATTTCTGAGAGGAAAGAGCCAACAGCAATTATCTATTTGTAGCACGCGGGGAGGGTGATGAAGAGCTGTAGTGTAAAAACTGGGTCAGCAGTTTTGTAAAGGAAGAATATCCTGCCCTGAATATACATTAAGGAATAAGTATTGCTTTCCTTTGTTTTTACTATACAAGCATTTATTTGGCATTTGTTTCTGATATGCATTTAACTATGTATTTAAAGAAATTTTAATGCATCTAAATCCTCTGAATGCTTTAAAACTGTAGAATATTCAGAATGCTTATAGTTTTTCAACAGTGATTTTAAAACATATCTGACATGGCCAGCACCTGATCTCCCACCAGTTCCATCTTAAGACATTGAATTGGAGAAATAGCAATGCGCTTTAAGTAAACTATCACTTTCGGTTGATAGTTTGTAAATAAAGCCTAATTTGTTTAAAAAACTTGACGGCTCATTATTAACTACAAATTCTACCCTTTTCTCCTGTACACTGAGCAATTATAATTTTACGTACTCATGTACACATTCGCTCTTATGCTGTTATTTGAAAATATCTCATCGTCTGCAGGTATGATCCTCAGGTCATAGAATGTTTGGGATTCACAAATCAAATGACTTAATAAAGAGATTATTTTTAGCAACAGCATTTCTTTAGAGATCCCGATAGAGTGTGGATTTATGTTCCTTTTGTAGTCTTTTCTGCTCAATTTTTCAAATAAGATTACGAACTTTTTAAATTGTTATTCAAGCTTTATTTATTTGACGTCGCTTCTTTGCATTTACGCCACATAAAGTTCAACAATAAAACCACAAAATCTTTAAAATAAACATAAACTTAGAATTCCCGATACAGTGTTAATTGCTGCCATACATAAATATAACGCCGATATATCGCTATATATACAGTGGTGGCCAAAATTTTGGACACTTTTGGAAATTTTTATGTTTTTGAACTTTTGTATGCTTATAGAAAACGTTACGTTTCACAAAATGCAAACTTGTATATATCATTTTAAAGAGAATTTATAACTGAATTCAATACAAAACACAAAATTCAATATTTGCAATACAAAAAAGTTGAACGATAACAGTTATCGATATACATTAGATAGTGACGATTGCAGTGAGTTATCAGTACTTAGTAGGTTACCCTTTATTTTTGGATTACAGCTTCACATCGACGTTTCATTGAGCTGACAAGAGTTTTAAGCTCTTCTTTCGTTATTACATGATGCCAAGAAACAATTATAGGCCTCAATTAGTTCCCTTTTATTTGATGGGCGCCTCATTCGGACAAGAGCTTGAGGTCAGGACTGTTTCCTGGCCATGGCAACAATTTAATGCTCTTTAAACGAAACCATTCTTTCGATATTTTGGCCGTGTGGGAAGGCAGGGAGCAGAATCCTGCTGAAAAATAAACGAAGCATTGTTGGGAAAGAGATCTCTGATAGAAGGTTGAAGTTTTGGTTCTAGAATATTGTCATGTATTTTCTGGATTCATTTCCATCGATGATATGAAGGCGACCAATACCATCTGCTGACATGCATGACTAAATCATAACACTAACTGGGTTCTTCACAGTTGCTTGAATGGCAGTCAGGAATGTAGCTCTTCTCCTATTCCTATCGTCTTACTATTTTTCGCCCATCACTACCGAATAACGTATCTTAGTTTTCATCATCCATATAACTTGTGACCACTGATCATCTGTCCCAATTAAGTGTTCCTTTGCTCACTGTAGTCTTTTTTTTTTTTCGTTGCTAAAAACTAAAATAAGGCTTTTTTCGTGGAATTCTACCTCTCAGTCCAACATCTGTTAATCTTCTCCTGATTGTTCTTGAACTGACAGAAACACCAGCATCATTCAGATCACTTCTGATGGCCGCTGATGACATTTTTCTATCTTGGAGACATAGTCTATTTATTCTTCTGTCATCAATAGATGTGATGCACCTTTTTCGGCCTTTTACGTCTTTGTTTTTTATTGAATTTGTCTCCTGATATCGTAAACAAAACTTTCGGACTCCAGATGTAGTTACTGAAGCACCCACCTGTCTTGCAATTTCAGCATAGGAAAGACCACTTTCTAGTAACACATTAATATTACATCTCTTTCTAGGTGTCCAATCTACTCTTTTATTTGATGTCATTGCTTCTTAACTAAATATTAAAAATTTTTACAAAAATTACTACTTGTAATTGCAGTGTATAAGAAACAGGTCCTCCTTCTACAGAACAAAGCAAACTAATGAATTGTTTCATGTGTAAACATGATGTCAGCTTCTACTGGCAGTTACTAACATTTGATTGGTTCTCAGAACAAGAACAGTGATTAGCTAGGAAAGCTAGACATTACAAACCACTACATAACTGTGTTTTTTTATTTATATTGAAGTACATATAACTTTTTTGTTTTGAAAATAATTGAATTTTGTGTGTTGTATTGAATTCAATAATAAATTCTTTTTAAAATGATATATACAAGTTTGCATTTTGCGAAACGTAACATTTTCTATAAGCGTACAAAGTT